AACTCCTGGGCTTAAGCAATTCTCTTGCCTCAGCCTCCCAAGTAGCTGGGACTACAGGTGCCCGCCACAATACGTGGCTATTTTTTGGTTGTAGTTGTTGTTGTTTGGTGAGCCCGGGCTGGATTTGAACCCGCCAACTCTGGTGTATGTGGCTGGCCTCTTAGCTGCTTGGGCTACAAAAGCCAAGCCTAGCCTTCTTAATTAAAATTTAGCACCCCCTAAAAGTCATTAACACAGTGTCTACATTTAGGAATATTAACACTAAATTTAGGTTCTTCAGTACAGTACAGCTTTGGGGGTTACTGTTTCAGGAACTTTCTCTGAGACTGGCAGAGAAAGAAAATGCTCGAATAGTGGTAGCCACAGATCCTGATGCAGACCGACTGGCAGTGGCAGAACTTCAGGAAAAGTAAGTAGAATCTGTTATTTGATTAAAACTTGAACTTTGAAAATCAAGTTTTGATTTTAAGTTTTACAGGCTCACTGAAAATAATGAAAAAATTAAAAAAGAACATAAATCTCCTATAAGCCCACCCTCCAGAGGTAACCACCTAAGTTGGTAGTTTGACATTTCTTTCCTATCTTGTTTTACTAAAATATTTAAAGATATAATGTTTTCTGTAAAATTGTGATCATACTATATGTAGTTTTATATCTCAGTTATTTCCTGCTTCGGTCATACTCTGAGCCTTTTTCCCCTGTCCTTAAATATTATTTAAAATATTAATTTTTTAAAAGGCACAATATCCTAACAGATTGTTTTTATCAATATTATCATTTCCTAATCTTGGTCCTCTAGATTGCTATGTATTTTTGCTATTATAATGTGGCAGATGTCTTTACATAGAAAGGCTTACACATTTGTCATGATTTTTTTCTCATTAAGTAGGAGACTAAAAGTGATAATGTAATAATTTTCTAAAAGACATTGCAACCATTCCTAGCCAAAGGCCACCCACGCTCAGTTAGAAAAGAAATAGTAGTAAGTGTTTTCTCAAAATGTCATGTAATTGTTTTTGGCTTTTCCTTTCTGACCTAATTTGTAAATGTTACCAACAATAAATTTCAAAGAGAAGTTAAAAAGGTCTTTACTTCGAATTTTCATTCTCCCTACAGTGATCATTGGAAAGTTTTCACAGGGAATGAGCTGGCAGCTTTGTTTGGGTGGTGGATGTTTGATTGCTGGAAGAAAAACAAATCAAGAAATGCTGATGTGAAGAATGTTTATATGTTAGCCACCACAGTCTCTTCTAAAATTTTGAAGGCAATTGCACTTAAAGAAGGATTTCATTTTGAAGTAAGAATAGACAATATTTGTGTGTTACTTTTCTAAACCTATTTCTGTATGTTAAAAGGACATCACCATGCCAAAACTCCTTTTATCGATTTCATTTGTAATTCTCCCATTTTTTCTAATTCTGTTAACACCTATTTATTTATTTATTTATTTTTATTTACTTATTTATCTTTTGAGACAGAGCCTCAAGCTGTCCCCGTGGGTAGAGTGCTATGCCATCACAGCTCACAGCAACCTCCAATTCCTGGGCTTAAGCGAGTCTGCTGCCTCCACCTCCCAAATAGCTGGGACCACAGGCGCCCGCCACAATGCCCGGCTATTTTTTTTGGTTGCAGCCATCATTGTTGTTTGACAGGCTGCGCTGGATTCAAACCCGCCACCTTAGGTGTATGTGGCTGGCACCTTAGCCACTTGAGCCACAGACGCTGAGCCTGTTAACGCCTATTTAATCTTTTTTGATAGTATAGACACTTTGAGCAAAACTCATCCACTACTGTATATGAAATTCCAGGACTAAAATGAGATATTCTTTAAAAAATACATTTAATACCTATTACTCTATATAACAATACCTATTTTTCTGACTGGGAAAACCTGTCCCCTGGTGACCTCATTAATAACACGAACCCTATTCCAAAAAATTATGGGTGTTATCAACCCCGTGCTTAGGCTCCTCAAGCACAGTCTTGAGAAACTTTACATGGTCTATATTGCAAATTAAGAACCAGTGATTCTTCATTCAAAAAACTAGTCATGGCTATTGATCTGCCAAATCATTAACCTTTGTGAACCCCCAACAGTTAAACTGACCATTTTTGCAGCTTCTAGAACTAAGCTGCTTTTCTTCTGCCATCTTTGCTATCAGTGAAAATGATACCTCTGGGCATTTTTCTTGAGCCATAGTCAAGCTCCAATCATTTTTTTTTTTTTTTTGAGACACAGCCTCAAGCTGTCCCCCTGGGTAGAGTGCCATGGCATCACAGCTCACAGCAACCTCCAGCTCCTGGGCTCAAGCGAGTCTCCTGTCTCAGTCTCCCAAGTAGCTGGGACCACAGGCGCCTGCCACAACGACCGGCTATTTTTTGATTGCAGCCATCATTGTTGTTTGGCAGGCCGGGCTAGATTCGAACCCGCCAACTTAGGTGTATGTGGCTGGCGCCTCAGCCACTTGAGCCACAGGCGCAAAGCCCAAGCTCCAAATCTTAACACTAATTGGCTGAGTAAAAGAAAGTTGTACTTGTCTATATGAAGTAGAATTTTCAATCTCAGGCTTTCTAAAACACAAATAGCAAAATAGAAGATACTGAAATTTTGATCAAGCCTAAGATTCTGAATTATAATGATGTGACTGTTTTCCTGGTTTAGACAAGATCAGGTGCATTCAGGGTGGTATGGCCATAGATTACTTTCCTTGTTTGTATCTATGGCATGAAATATATATAAAGAAAACAAAAAAGAAAAGAAGAACATGATTCTAAAGATCAGTATTATAAATATGCCTGTTTTGTTGTTGGGGGGAAGGTTTTGGCTTTTTGTTTTTATTTTTTAGTGAGGAAGTAGTGAGTTGAGTTAGAAAATTTCGTAATGGTGAGCTGTAGAATTAGTGTATATCATATGCTTTTTCTGCTGATTCTAACATCTCGTCTTTAAAATGAACAGTAGCTGATTAGATGAAAAATCCTCAAATCTAATTAGTAAAATGGTAGTTAGTAACTGTCTTGGTGGTTTTATTCAGGCCACAGTGTCACGGGAAGGTACACTTGATTCGAGCCTATGTTGTGGTAATGTTAAAAGTACCTCACTAAAAAGCTTAATGGCCTTTGATTACTCAGGGAGACTAAATCCACCAACCTTCATAGGTACTCCTACATTAGTGGTTATAATAGAGCTGAAAAGACAGTTTCTTTATTTCTTTTTTTTGAGACAGAGTCTCACTTTGTTGCCCTCAGTAGAGTGCTATGGTGTTATAGCTCTTATGATCGTCTTGAGCTCAAGTGATCCTCTTGCCTCAGTGTCCAAGTAGCTGGGACTATCAGGCACCGCAACGCCTGGCTAATTTTAGAGATGGGGTCTCACTCTTGCTCAGGCTGGTCTCAAACTCCTGAGCTCAGGCAACACGCCCACCTCGGCCTCCCAGAGTGCCAGGATTATAGGCATGAGCCACTGCACCTGGCCTAAAAGATGATTTCTAAGAAGTGCATAATTGATTCTCAACTCCATCTCTTATATGCAGCATAATCTTGGGCAGATTTAACCTTTGAGCCTCTTTTTCAGCAATAGTTTTTGTGAGCATTTAAAAAGATGATGTAAATCTATAATATGTGATGTGATATCTATAATATCACAGATATTAAAATAAATAGTAGATGATCATAGTATATGTGTTTGTTTTATGTTACGTTGTAGCTATATGCATCATTTACAAAGAGTAGATTATATTTGGTGTAAATTACCTACTATGCACTGTAAGTAGTAGGTTATCAGGCGTGGCAGTATATAGAATTATGGCACTTTACGACTATATGTCTATCAGTACGTGAATCTTTGTGGATTGAAGACTGCAACAGATCACTATACAAGGGCTATGTGCATATTTTTCTCTAATATGTACTTACAAAAGAGTCAATTAACTAGAGTGGCCCTCTCTGCATTTCAGGAAACATTACCAGGTTTTAAATGGATTGGAAGTAGGATAAAAGACCTACTGGAAAATGAGAAAGAAGTCCTTTTTGCATTTGAAGAATCTATTGGTATGTAGTAAATAGGAAAACCTTTAAAGTTTGATTGAGAGAATTTCTTTTAAGTATAATTCTGTACACTGAGGAATTTTTGTCTTCTGGTTTTATATTTTGAGTTGTAAAAAATTTGTAGTTATAATTTCCTTATCAGAAATTAAAAAGAACCAGAGTGCCCCCTAAATATGTTCAATATTGATGGATTCATCTATTGCTAGGCTTTTAAATTCACTGGTCCTTCTGAAGAAATGTAAAACTATTGAAATTATAGGGTTAAGTTTTCCTCTTTCTTAAATGTTTTTTAATCCTCAGGTTTTCTGTGTGGAACTTCAGTTTTGGATAAAGATGGGGTGAGTGCGGCTGTTGTTGTTGCCGAGATGGCATCTTATCTGGAAACCATGAATGTAACATTGAAACAGCAACTGATTAATATTTATGAAAAGTAAGTTCTACTACTACTATGAATTTCACATGTCTGATTTTTCTTTCTTTCTTTTTGTCCTATGCTTAGTTTTCTAAATTTATTTCTGAGGAATAGTTAATCCTTTCTTTTTTTTCTTTTTTTTTTTTTTTTTGAGACGGAGCCTTAAGCTATCCCCCTGGGTAGAGTGCCATGGCATCATGCTCAGAGCAACCTCCAACTCCTGGGCTCAAGCGAGTCTCCTGCCTCAGCCTCCCAAGTAGCTGGGACTACAGGCG